GTAGTGGTGCCCAATTGGGGCGATTGGGGACTTTGTCGCATTTGAGGGTTGATCTTTATTTTGGTTCCATAGTCGGACCTTGAGTGTATTGGATGAATGTAATGACTTATTTATGTATTTGTGTGACGTGGCGAGTGTAAGCCAACTATGTACCTTTCCCTTTTATTTATGTATATGGGTTGTTTGCTAAGATTACCTCACTTGCGACATTGCTTTCAATGCGGTTATACCTCTAAGTCGTGCTTAGACACGTGGAAGATATAGCCGCATCGAGGGCGTTACATGAAAGCTATCCACATCAACAATCTACATGAAGCCATCCACCTCAGTCCACCTCAACAATCTAGCCGTATCATCAATTCCAAATACCCTTCTATTCCTGCAATTTAATTTCTGTCTTTTTTCATTTCTTTACCAGGCAATTTCATATTGTCCCGAAGGCCCACAACTCTGGCCCGGTTGCAGCGCTCCTTCTTTTCGACGGTAGTTTCTTCCTTCTGCTAAAAAAGAACCACGCCAGTTTCTTTCCACGACTGATTCAGCGTCGCAGGGCCAATCTTCTCCAAGGGAGCGTTGTTTCTTTCCCCGGATTCTCCACGCCGCCTCCTGCTAATCTCCAATATCTACGACACCCGTCTCCTTCACCTTCTTCAATGCCCATGAAATCCCAGTACTGTATTGCAATAGAATCGGATAGATCCCCCCTCATGCATGGGTAACAGATGCAATTCCTATCCCCTTCAAGAAGTGCCGCCTGAGCAGCTAAAGCGCGTGCACATTGGAGGGCGTCCTCCCAGAGGACAGGTTGGAGCCATAGCATCGGGTGCTGCCATGCTGGAAGGCTTTGTCACGCACTGTCATTGGCCGCTTCCATGGTCAGGCTCGCCATGGGAGTAGTGATGGGTCAAGCAGAAGGGCTTCGCCACATGCTATCGTGCGTCAAAAACAACACACGTTGCTGACAATGCCACTCAATGTTGCGCCACGATGTCGTGCCGGGACGAGTGGCGGCGTGGCTGAGGGCCTCCACCGTGCGGGTTGCGTGCCGCATCCACTGTGAGCAGGAGTGTCAAGCATTAAACATAGCAAAGTCACATCAACATCAATTCTCAGAACATAATGGTTACTAGTCATTAAGCCCTAACAAATCTAACATCGACTACATAAGAAATCTCATCCAATTCCCATCTACCTCCACGTGACTACATGAAAATTACTCACACATGGGTGGAAGCATCATGATATTGTTGTTGGAGAAAAGTTGGTGGTAACGATGACGATGAATCACTCTCTCTGGAGCCAGAAATAGACTCCAGATCGGATCTCTAGAGAAAGTACTGGAGGTGGCGGCGTCTTCGTGTCATAAAAAGCTTCCATGTTTTTCATGGGTTTTTTGGTATAATGAGTTTTTTATGGCGGTGGAATCATCGAAAGGCGGTGGATGAGGGCCCCATGCGGCCACGGTGTGCCCCAGGGGGATGACCACATTGCGAATATTGCTATCTCAAAACTCCGGATGGAAATGAGCCGGCCCGCTCCACCCCGGACTTAGTCCCGCTAGTCCCCTAGTTCTCTCGAGGGACTTGGGGCCGGCCCAACGGTTCCATATTGAGTGGCCTCATGCCCAATTGGGCAACATGGTCCGAACCGCTTTAATTCTAGATTACAAAAGAGCATCGTTTACATTATAAGGTTGGCCAATAGTTTGAAATTTTCATATAAACACAAGGGTAACAACCTTGCAAAGACATGTACATTGTAATAGTAGACTACACCCTTGGACAACAAAAAGCAACGCCAGCACCGGGATTTGAACCTCAATCTTTCGTGTTAGTTGCACACTGCGGTAACCAGTACACGACCGCAACTAGACGTGCTTGCTTCCATTTTCTTCTGTTCTTAGCTTCTACTTTCTTTCCTGTTTTGTTTTTGTTTTTGTTTATTCTGCTTTCTGTTTTCTTTTTCCTGTTTTTTCGTTTTTTTTCAGTTTTCAGTTTTCTTTTACATTTTCTCTTCTTCCTTGTTTGATGATTTTTTTTTCAAATTTGTTAACCTTTTTTCAAAATTGATGAACTATTGTCAAATTCGATGATTTTTTTCAAATTGATGAACTTTTATTTCAAATTCGTGAACCTTTTTCAACATCGATGATTTTTTTTTCAAATTTGATGATTTTTTTTCAAATTCGGACGAGCTTTTTTAAAATTTGGATGAATTTTTTCTCAAAATTGATAAACTAATTTTTAAAATTGATGAACTCTTTTTCCAAAATTGTGAATTTGTTTTGAAGATTGATGATTTTTTTTTCAAATTTATGAACTTTTTCTCGAGACGATAAACTTTTTTTCAAATTCGATGAACTTTATTCATTTTCATGAACCGTGTCAATTTTCTATGAACCTTTTTTTTTCAAATTCCTACCTGTTTTCAGTATTTTTTACCAAATCTGTTTTGAATTTATATTTTCTTTTAAAATAATTTATACCGGATATACGTAATACAGTATGTATTAACTAGAGGAAGGGTCAAATAGAACTTTTTCCTATTTTGAGGCAAACGGAACGAGCTCAACCTGATGGTTACAAGAACTATTGACGACGCTGCATTTAATCAAAATAACTAATTGAAGAGTACTCATTGTAAAGATCACTTTCACCTTTTCAGGTTGCGACAAGTGACGCATTGTATATGCGCCACTTTGTTGAAACCTGAGAGTTTTCTTTTTTGTCATATATCCGTTTATTCAAAATGTTTTATCTCTTAACCGTGCATCCAAATCTTGAACCATTTTCACTGTTGGATTCCTCGCGTCGAGATCTTTAAAACTAGATCTCATGTTGATAGGTTTAGATGAACTTTTTATTCACGAAAAAATCAGACGAAATAATCGAACCGAGAGCATGGGTTTTCCCCCTTTCCGAAATAGGCATGCCCGTGCCTCTCGCGAAATCACAACCGTGCCTCTTGCAGAAGCAAAACCGTGCCTCTCGCGAAAGGAAAAAAAAGAAGAGAAAGCACAGCCGAGGAGGCACGGCCCTCTCGCGAAAGCATAACCATGCCTCTCTCGGAAGCAAAACAGTGCCTCTCGCGAAAAAAATTAGAAAATGTGTTTTTTTCCGTTTCCGAGAGGTACGGTCGTGCTTCTCGCGAAAGTACAACCGTACTTCTCGCGGAAGCGAAACCGTGCCTCTTTCGAAAGAAAAAAAAACATAAAAACGCGTTTTCCCTGTTTCCGAGAGGCTCTCGCGAAAGCACAACCGTGCCTCTCGCAGAAGCAAAACCGTGCCTCTCGCGGAAGGAAAAAAAAACAAAAAACACGTTTTTCGTTTCCGAGAGGCACGACCGTGACTCTCGCGAAAGCAAAACCGTGCCTCTCGCCGAAGCAAAACATGACTCTCGCGAAAGAAAAAAAAAGAAAACACATTTTTACGTAATTTTCTTTTTCCGAATTTTTTTGATCCAAAATCTAAGGAAGATCGGTGAAAAACCGAAACGTCGAAACCGCCAAAAAAACTGTTTAAAATGCGTGTGGAAAAATAAAATGAAAATTCGAAGGAAGCTTCAAGAGTTCGACACGTGGCAGGTAGCTTAGAGCGCGCCAAGTGACACTGATCGTTCTGAGACTCTCGAAGGAGTGCTCATCAACTAGTTGCTCTCGCCTTTAATTTTTTTCCTGCTGCTGCGTTGAGCAAATTGTTACTAGCAATGTTTTAATGGGCCTTGGCCCGCTGCTGGTTGCTGTAGGCGCCACTTCTCCAACAGACGCCTACAGCGCCGAGTAGGAGCTCCCCTCATCATTATTTCCGGGTTGTTAGAAATAAATTCTTTTTCTGCTGGTCGCTGTAAGCGCCACTTCTCCAACGGCGTCTACAACGCTGAGTGGGTGCTCCCTCACCATTATTGGGGGTTTTTAGAAATAAACCTTCTTTTAGAAACACTTACAATTTTACTCATGCTCATAACAATTACATATACACTAATTCAGATAAAAATCCAAGAAAATACAAAGTAACTCCTATGACTAAGAATTGCAATGAAACCTCTAGGAAATACCTTTGCTGCATCAATCTCTGTTAGAAAAATACTCGACAAACTTCGGTAAAAATGCTGCAATTGGACTGGAACAACGATTTTGCCACTCTTTCACCCACACGAATATTACCGATAATGGTTTTGAAAGCACATTGAGTCTTCCATCCAAAAAGATGGGAAGCCTTGGTCGGTGAGCGTACTTGGGCCAGGGATGATCCCCTAGAAGTGCAATATGTCGGATCACAAAATCTTTATCATGATGTCGATGAAATACTTCAACCTCACAAAGATTCAAACCAACATAAAAAGTTTGACACACCAACCTAAACTCATCAGATCCGAATAATCGCTAGACGATGACAAAGACCGTAGTACTTTTGGGTAAAAAAAGACCGTAGTACTTTTAAGATGCGAGACCCCCCATCACTAGGCGCCAAGATGATAGTCGGAGGCGAGGTGACTAAAAAATTCCTAGCGACGGCGGCGTAAGCCCTTGCTTGTTCGTGCCAACGAGATATTTAGATCGATGTGAATCACTGTTGAGAAATAAACCTTGGACAACTAAACTGGACAAACCAAACTTAAAAAAAAAACTGGACAAACCATTTGTCCCGGTGGGCTGATTGTGACCGGCTCTACGGCCCAATTTTCCTATGAAGCCGACCAAGAGGACAGACACATATCGACCTTAAAATTATGGGCCGGGCTAATGGCCCAATGGGTAACACCGGCCCATTCACAGCGTGACTCTTCTTTGACCAGACTCGAAGTGTGGAATTCAGTTCTTGCGAAGAGCAAAACACGTGGCCCAATTGTATCACAGGGAACACGTGGCGCGCACCTTTCTCAGCCGTTGGTTCTCGAATCGGACGACTGTCCGAGGGCGCATACGTGGCTCGTCGTTCATATCCCAACGCCCCAGAAGTAAAAAAAAAAAAATAGAGCCCAGAGGAAGCGGAGCTGGAGCGATGCACTCCTGGGGGACCCGGCTGCTGGCCGCGGCGACGACGGCGGTGCTCCTCCTCATCGCCACCTGCGCCGCCGCCTCCGCGCTCGACGCCTTCCACGTCCCCTCCGTCGAAGCCCAAGCCCACGTATGCCGTCTGCCCCTCCTCTCTCCTCTCCTTTCTTTACAGCAGCCTGCAGTCAAGCCCTCTGAACCGCGAGCGTTCACCTGAATCTGTTCCGCGATTAGTGGCAGTCATGTCTCTAGTCACGCCAAATTCCGCAATTCTGTCAGGAATCCTGGTAGGGTTGAGGGCTGGACGTCGTCGTTGGCCGGTGGGGGTGAACTTGTGCGGGATCTGACCGGTTCTGCGTCCGCGAATTCACCGATCTGTCGGGATGCAGCTTGGCCATTTTAGGATGGGTCAAGTATCTGCACACTGATTCGTTTATCTAGCATTCTACTAGTGTTTAGGCTTTTACAAGTTGTGTAAAAGTTGGGTTCAGATTCCATGGCTTGTGCCTTGTGGTCACTGTGAAGCTTTATCAGACAAATGTTTTTCTTGTTGAGGAACGCGCCTGCAACATCTTTGCTGGTTCCTGTTTTACATGTGAAGCTTTGCTTATTGATTCTCTTGTGCTCTTGTAGGTTACGAAGATAAATCGATTCCACAAACAGATCAATGGGAATGACAAGGTTTGTGCTTTTACTTCACCCTTTTGTTTTTCATGTTTCACATCTAGAAATACGGCCATCGTTTTACAACATATAATGTTTTCCCTTGGGCAATTATTCAGTTGCCATGTCGCTGAACAAAACCAGTTCCTTGTGAAAAAAAAAATCTTGAAAAGAGTCATCAGTATCAATTTAGTAATATTATTTCACAGCTCATAATCTGCACATTTGCGACTGCCTTTATGTTGCACAGGTGCTATTACCGTCATTCATTGACACAATGCCGCAAGCAAATTCATCTTTTATATGTATGCCATGTTACTTCTACTGCAGCACCACTGACAAATTTCTGAAAACAAATGTGACAGGTGACCTTGACCTTCAGTCTATCTGCAAATTTGGAATCACTTTTCACGTGGAACACAAAGCAGGTGATATTTACATTCCAGTAGGATGTGCAATGCTAAACTGTTTTCTGAATGTGTAGATGCTCAGTATATTGACACTATATATATCTGTGGGCCTGGCAAATAATATAACAAGTGCATATCACAAGTCATATTGCTCAAGTGTAACATATGCAAAAACTGAGTCAATATTGAATGAAGGCTTACCTAGGTTTACCAATTTCTACCGCAGTATCATCAGAAGAAATAGATAGTGACCTTGAAACAAGATAATAATTAGAATGTATGATATTTCTTATGAGGTGGTAAGTTTAATGCTGGTTGCTTGCAGAAAGCATCAAGAGGAACAACACTTTCATCTAGTCTTTAGTCTTTCTGTACTGAAAGTTGTCATTTCTCAATCCATACTTTCTCAATTTTGTCAGCATGTAGAATGCTGCAAAATTGTACTTAAGGAAATACATCATGTGTTTGTAATGCTAAAAAAGATCATGTTATCTTCAGAAGAAATAGATAGTGACCTTGAAACAAGATTGGAATTAGATAGTATAGTTTTTCTAATGAAGCTTTACACTGGCATTTTTTTTGCTGTCTGCTTGCACAAGCATCACAAGGAGCAAACTTTCATAGTCTTCGGTCTTTCTGCACCAAAAGCCGTCCTATTGTCAATCCTTTTTTTTTCAAATGTTGGCAGCACATATGGTCATTTATGCAAAGTAGTTAGTGATGGTAGTAGATATGGCTCGTAAGTAAATAGATACACAAGAAAATGCATCCTCGTAGTTAACAGGTAAGGCATGTTACTGAGCAATTCGTTACTAATATGCTTAATTCAGAAGCATAGGTATTGTTAGAATGGTATTGACAAACCGCTCAATGTGAAAATATATTCGACGTAGATAAAAAATACTGTAGTTCGAATGCACTACCACCTCCATGTCTTTTTCAGATGACATTGTTAGTTATTTGCTCCACTTCACATTGTAGGAAGCTATTCTCTCCATTCCAAAATAAGTGACGTGGTTTTGGTAGCAACTTAATTGCTTTTTTTTTATCAGGTCTTTGCCTTTGTGACGGCGGAGTATGAAACCGCAAAGAATTCCCTGAACCAGGTATGCTAATATTCGTATTTAATCCTGGCCTACAATTTGTTCTGCTACTATCCGTATTTTCCAAGAACATCCAACTGTGTAATTAACCAAAGCTTCAAATCTGAAGTATTCCTCTTGTCACCTTGGCATAAGAGATCTGCTTAGAATATGTGTAATATTTTGTCAGGATGCCCTTTAATCATCACTCAGAATATCTTCCTTTCTTTTGCCAAGTAGTGTAAATTGCATCTCATTAAGAAGACAGTAGGGGGTGATCGTGAACCATGCTTATATTCACTTCATTACAATTGACAGGTTTCATTATGGGACAAGATAATACCTGACAAAGAGGAGGCAAATGTCCAAGTGGAGGTGAAGAGCAAGTATCCCCTGACTGACCAGGTAAAGCTCCACTCTTTGTCCATTTTGTTACATGTCCTGGATTCCTCTTTGACACGATTCGTCTTCGTCATCAGGGAACCAGTCTGCGGGGCAAGAAAGTTCAGCTTGTCCTCCACTGGCACATCATGCCAAACGCCGGCGCAATGATCCGAGGCAAGATGCCTCTCTCGGAGTTCACTCTCCCAGACACCTATACTTCCTGAAAACGAAGCTGTGCTCCTCTGCTCCATCTGATAAATTATGTAGGAGGCTCACAGTTGTAGATCTATAAGAAGAATCCTCTAGTGAATACGAAGCGTCTTTGCTGCACTCAGGACAGTGTTTGTTAATTCCTGATTTGTTGTTCGTTCACAGTGTGGATATATAGCTAATTTTTTATTTGTTTGAGAAATATAGCTTATTATTGATCAAGCAGTGAATATCACTTGGAGGTGTCGTGCCTGCTGCATCACTGCAGGGTGCCCGGGGTTGTCCTGTGGGCTTATGTCACTCTGCCTGGCTGCACGCGGAGGCGATTCACATGTTATTATCAGCTCGTAGGTAATGTATTTACACCATAGATTTGCTTGCTCGTTCTCAACTTAGCTGTCGGATAGGTTGGGCATGATGGAGAGCCCTGTCTGGGTGTATTTGTGCATGCCCAAGTGGATAACTAGGTAGTGGATTTTGGGCAAATCTACGAGAGAGCAAGGGTACAACGAAATTCAGAGATCTGGATATCTGCCTGACACTGACTTGAGAGATCTGATGAAACAAAATTGGCCAGCTGTCGGTCGTCTGACTTGTTTCGTGAACTGAAAGGTGCAACATTCAGGGTTTTATTACTCGCATCTCTCCATTCTGGAAGGCGAAAAGAGTGCACGAATCCACTTGTATCTTAGTTCGCAGCATCAAAGGATGTTACCTCGATCACTGGCATCCTACATAGGCTAATTTTTTGGCCACCAAAGGAAGTGCCCATTTCCTCTAGCCACGGCTGCAACTGCAAAGATCCCGGAGCGACTACAATAGAAAAGCAGCTTGTGGTGCAAAAACAGAAAAACGAATCTGGGCCATGGTACAGATTCACGTGGAGGGATCCCATGCCACTTGATGTGCATTTTATGAAAACCCCCCTACTAGGCTACTAGTAGTTAGATGTCAAATAGACTTTTGCAGTATCCACCTTCATTTTTCATGTCCAAACGTTTGGTTCTTCGTAAATAGTATTGCCATATCTTCAGTGTTCATTGCTGCTCTCTCCCTTTTGCGCATCCGTATTGCATGTCAAAGATATTTGAGTAAATGAAAAAATTAAGCCAGCCTAGCAAATTGGACTATCACAGGCACTTTTTTTTGACCGGTCACCGGGGGGAAGAGGACCCCCACCTGAATATATTGCTCAAAAAGCTACCAAAGCCAAGAGTCACCCCTTAACTTTGGCCGATCCAGTTAATAAGGAAAACCGGATCGAAAACCTAAACAAGTTGACCCTGTTCATAAGAGAAACCGGGCCGAAAAACCGCACAGGTAATAAGGTTACAGAATATGAGAAAAAATGCCACCTAGGATAAGGCATGACCTAGCTAAACATGCCGAAAGACCAACACCACAAGAGACACAAGTAGATGTGGGGTGCTGTCGAGGGATCACAATACCAAGACTCTGCAAACAACCTAACGCACCGCACCGGCGTGCGTACCGAGCCCCACGGCACAACAGAGGATCAATCACAATCAACGAGTGCCAAACTTAACACGAACCTTGACTAGGAGATCCGCCACGGGCGGTCGAAACGATTAGCTGGTTGGGAGGCATCATTGCGTCGTCATTGAGCAAAGGTGAACCAAGACAGCACCAAGAGCCCAAAGCTCACCGCAGCACAACGACAACCATGGGAGGGTCTTGAGCATGCACAACAATAGGACGGAGACCACGCAAAGGACGGCCCAAGAGAAACACATGAAGAAGAACAGCACACCACCGTCGGCCCCAAGCTGGCCGCACCACCACCACCAAACGCACCATCGAGCGTGCCACACTGAGGGAACCAATGCTGCAGGGGGAAGGGGAAAAACCATGGCAACGCTTCCAAGGAAGAGAACGACGCCCACAGGCGCCGCCGTTACCATCGCTGACCAAGTCAGAGCAGAGCTTTCACTCAATCTCGATCATCCCCGGCAGCCCACCGCGAGCGAGGGAGGAGTTCCTCTGCGGCGCCTTCAAGGAGGTCAACGACGCCCGCAGGCGACGTCGTCGCTGAGCTTTCGCCCGGAACCCCACCTCAACCTGAGAAGCCCAGACACACCAATGTTCCCAACTGCCAATGGGCGACTGTCGGGAGTTGGAGACGAGGCCCAACCTCAGGACACAAACTCTGGCGGGAGGAAGTATACCTGCGGTGGTCGGAGTGAGGCGGCGCAAGGACGAGGTTGGATCTGACGGAGGGGCTGGGAGGACGACGGCCGCGGGGAAGCCCCGCGGGAACCGCCGGCGCAGAAGCAAGGGCGACGAGGAAGAGGAAGGGGGGGGGGACGCTGTCGGAGCAAAGCAGACCATCGCTTGTACGCACACAGGGCGGTCCACTCCTTCCGCCAGATCTGTGCGTACGCACAAAGCAGAGCATCTCCGACGGAGACCACCAACAGCCACTGGGAGCATGAGCAGCCCAGATCTGCGCCCTCCGCATGCATGGATAGCAGCAGGCGCCGCCACGCCGGCGAAAAAAGCCGCCCAGTCGTGCCGCCACGCCGGCGCTTGCCGCCGGCACCACTCGCGAACCCGCCACCAACAGCCGCGAGCCGGGCAAGAGGTACCCCGCCGCTGCCGTCCGCCCCTGGGGCTTCGCCCGGAGGCCTCCTCCGACGGCGGCGCGGGAAGGGGAGGGCTGGGAAACGGTCGGCGGCTAGGGTTTCAAGGGCCGCCCGAGTCGCCCTCGAGAGAGCGACGCGGGGGCGTTTTTTTCTGGTATCGTCACAGGCACTTATGTGTGAGTATGTTTAAACTGAAGCATCAGAGGAGCAAGAAATTGGGTATACATGTTAAAATGGACCATTCTAGGCACATAATGCTTGACTGCGTGTCAAGATGGTCTATCCACGGCACATTTTTGAGTACATGTCAAACTGGAACATCCCGGACATAACACAAGAAGACATTCATATCGAGATATCAATAACCTGGCAAGATCAAGAAGAATTACTAGCAAAAATTGCTTCAACTTTCGTACATGATGGGCTATGCTAAGTCTGAAGGACTATGATAATCATCGCTGAACAAGCATTGGCATTAAGAACTACACCGACATTGCTATCTTGATGGCACACAACAGTTGCCTCATGAAGTGCTTCTTGTTCATCGAGCTTCTTGTCCTGGGAGAGATCATACGTAACAAGTACGATTCAGTGAAACAGAAGAACTAAAATAGACTTTCAAACCACCACAAACAGTAGCAATACATAATGTAATGAAGTTACCAATATGCATCATTCACACATGAGCAGGTTTGACATGAACAAGTACAAGAAAGTAGAACTGTAGAGATGCGGCATACATCAACTAGCTAATAAAATTAAGATCGAGCACAAATGTACTAGCTAAATCATGTTAGCATCTATTTATCAGAGAAATTAACCATCATAGTGACGCCTTGTAGATTTGCACCACGTCACATAGGCCGGTTCAGAAGGAGGCGAGGAGCCCAGCACCTATGTCAACAGTCTGTCTGTG